AAACATGAGACGGTTTTTATTTTATTGATAACCATTAGACTACAACGACTACAGACATGAGTAAAAAGTATTAATTACTCAGAATAAAATAATAACGGTGAATACTGCATTCATTTTTGTTTCGTGTTGCTTTATCGTTTTGTTTTTTTTCTGGTAGTGTCTATTACCTTATACATTTATAATATCTTATAGGTCTACAATATTAGTATTTATTCTTTCAAGATTTCAGATGTTGTTGTTGTTTTCAGTTTTAAGCTAAATTACAATAAACATATCATTTTTGTGTGTAAATCGTGGTCCTTGGACCTTCATAAAAGGTTCACCCCCCCCCCCTAATACAAACTGAACTACTGTTTGTACTCTCACCTTATGATACCTTTTATTGGTCGATCACGACTGTTTCAGCATTTCACTAAGTTACTAAAAACCACTTTTGGCTTCACAAAACTTTCTACCCCCCCCAAAAGTAGAAAACACTATGCTCTTTTTTTTTAAATACATCCTGCCACTATTTATTACATTCAGGAGGAAATGTTTTGACAAAGATTCAGAGCAAGAACGGGTCAACAACGAAGGATGATGACATGAAGACATAGGTTCTAGAGTCAAGAACATCAGAAAACACAATCATGAAACAATGAGATAATAAACGGCTTTCTAGTAAAACTGGTACTTTCTTCAATAAAGTTTCATGAGCTTAGGTATCGCAGTGACGACGGGACGAAAGCAAGAATGTTATAGGCGGAGATAAGAACAATACATAACAATCTATCCATATAAACCTATATACATACATAATAAACACACGCATATACGCACACATACATATATACATACATAACACACACATGCACATACGCACACATACATACATAATACGCATATACGCACACATACACATATATATATATACACACACACACACACGCCCATATACGCACACATACATATATATATATATATATATATATATATACATACATAAATGTATCTTATTACCACCCAGAAGTTGCCAAAGTCTTATACAAAAAGATAAACTTAGAGAAAAGTATACCATCATGAGCTGTAAGAAGTCCAGATTCATCAATAACATAAGGGCAATAATATGCAGATGCAGGAAAAATATTAAAGTCTCCAAGAAAAGGTCTCAAGCACCATCAGATGTCAAGATTTGAATACAGACAGAGCTAGGACATAGATAATAAACTTGGTATCCCATTTTAATAGGAAGTGGGAAAGGAAAAGATGCTTCAGGCAAAAAAACAAAGATGAGGGATATGAGTCCTAAAAGAAGACAGACTAGAAAAGAGAATGGCCAAGAAGAAAACAAAATAGGTATCATATGACAACCTGATATTAATCTTTAACATTTGAAAAATAAACACCTCTTTCGAAAAGAAATAAGCTTATGAACGTGATACTTGCAACACAAATTTCATCTATTGGACTGATAAATCTGTAAAGAATAAAAATGGTTAGAAAAGGTCAAAAGAAGTGCTACTATCCATAAAGAAAGAGCTACTTATCAAAACACAGGACCAGAAAACAGCCCCATGGAATCAAAGGCAAGTGACATCATGATGAAATTCTGACGTACAATACTATTGCAACAAAGAATGTTATATCAACCATCGAGAGACGGAGGAGAGAGAGGAAGTCAATGTAGGTCAGGTCATCACCGAGAAATGGAATGAATCAAATGCAGAGTTTAGGATTTGAAACAACAATTAGAATAAGCACCTAACTAACAACATCCACCACCACGACTAACAGATATGGAACTAAAGATTAAAAATTAAGGGGTTTGTGATGGCAAAAGCATCAATCAATGAATAACCCAGTCAAAATGAGGACCTAAAATGAAACAGACAACTCTGGATTTAGCATTTACTGAGGATGTGAAAACTGACAAAGGCATTAAAAGTAATGATTCCAGAAACAAGGCAATCTTGAAATGGAAAAATTTCTATGTAAAGCTGTCTGAATGAATCAAAATTGATTGCCCTCAAAGACATACTTGAAACTAAAGGCATACTTTATAATTGCTTACAATTCCAGATGATTTATGCTAGCAAAAGAAATTAATCAATTATTTTCCGAAGCTTCTATGCTTAGTTGCCAGTCTATGAAATCTAATCAAAACTGATACATAATTTTAATAAAGAGTACATAAAATACATTATTTTACCTAAAGAATGTCTAAACAAAGACCTACAGCCTAAGGTGTGAAAAAATATGACAACACACACACATACATATACAAGAAACTTATATATATATACATGCATAAAGTAGAAGTGTCATTCAAACTCAGGGTACAGATATGACTTTGTGCGGGAAGTAACATGGGCCATGGTCTCAGAAGCTGTTTTGAGGCTGCAAATGTTGGACCAATCTCACTCAAACTTAGCATGTACAGAGTCCTTAGAAGTGTGTCATGTGGGATTGGTGTTTGAATCTGCCCCCCCCCCCCATGTCACTCTCTAAATGGCCCCTTTCTGTCTGTTTCCACATTTCACACTTTCATTTTTGACCAATCTCAATCACACTTGGCATGCACCCTGTAATGATCACTGGATTTAACCCCCCATATCATTCCCTGGAGGCCCCTACGTATTCCCCATGCATTAAATGGGTATATCAGCCACTTATCTTATATTCTCCCCTAATGAAGGGACAGCACAAACTGAAAATAATGCTCTTTTTAAGTTGGAGAACATCATGCTAGTGAAAATATTTCTATAAATGCTTATCCATTTTGGTTGTAACAAAACATATAAAATACTATAATACCAAGATCCCGAATACAAATAAAGAATATAACACTTACTTGAAAGACTTCACTTGCATCGAAGAAAATACGTCTTCTCCATGTGCAAATCCATTTCTTTGGTTTTCTGACACTTTGTAAATATCCTCAAGGGAGCCAGGAGATTTAGAAACTTCAAATGATACCTCACCACTGGATATATCGGCACATCCCGAATCTGGAGCATCTTCAATCTTATCTCCAACAGTAAGTAACTCTGACAAGACCCGATTACCATTTTCTACTTTATTTACAGAATCATTACCATTATTCAGCTGAAACTCACTATTAAATTGTTGAACGTTAGGTAAAGTAGCTTCTTTGTCTTGCATTTTTGCTAACAACTCACCAGATGAAACACTTGACTCTTTCCATGGTTCATTTGAATCAAAACTACATTCAACAAAGCTATTTTCTGGAGCCAAAGGAAAAGCCTTCATTTCTGAAACTTCCAGTTTTTGATCAAACTCCATCAGTCTTCCCCTCTTTTTCTTTACTTTTTCAACCATGTCTTTGTTATTAAAGTTTGGAAGCAAGGTTGGTTGTTTCACTATGGTGTTGTGCAAGTGAAATGTATCATCCACAAAGCTGTTCTGAGGTGTGTAAGGACAGGAGTTTTGTGCAGATGAGTCTTGAGAGTTGGGTGGTTTCCCTGAAACATCAATAAGAAGAGCAGGAGTTACAATGGTTGAACCACTGTAGGGATTGTTAGTATCACAAGCATGTTTTGCAAATTCTGAGGAGAAAGTTATTAGTCTTCAAAACTGTCTTTCATTTCAGTAGTATATTATAAAAGACTTATAGATAAACATTTGGAATTTCTGCTTCAAATAAAATGACTAGAAATGTAAAGAGTTACATGTACTCACATAACGTTCTTATGTTCTGAATAGGACCTGAAATACAGTGTAAGCTCAGAAAATCCTAAATTTTTGAACTTACATAACTTTTAAATTAAAACAATTACCATAATGTAATGTTTTTTTTATCTAAGTACATGCAATATATATATGTTATAATATAAATTGAAACAAAATTTGTAATTTAATAGTTTTCTCTACTTGGATTCCATTATGAATGATACATGTGATATTAAATTGTATTATCCCAACTTTTTTTTTGTATATTTTCACAAATACTCGTACTTAAGGTAGAAAATTCATAATTTTTTACGTGTGTTCCTTATGGGAAGACATAACATTAATGGTTCATAAATTAAAAATTCCAGTAACTGTACTTGATGTCAATAAGAGTGTAAAGTAATGATGTTTCTTCTTGTTTTTTCATGGCTTTTGTTACAAAGTTTACCCTGACTGAGCCATTACTGTGGCTCTTGTTACAAAAGGATTATTCTGAGTGTGTGTGTGTGTGTCAACTTTGACTCTTGAGAAATTGAAGACTGGTTAATTTGATTAAAAAATACAAATATAATGAGAATTTGACAATAGTGAGAGATCAACAAGAAAAAGAAGGATCTTACCTACTATTTAACTATAATTATTACCTTGTCTCAAGAATACGATACCCTATAACCTGAGTGCTTTCGAAAGGTGGACCTTTAAAAGTGCTCAGGTTATAGGGTATCGTATATTTGTGTTAAATTGATTTATTGAACCAACACGTTTCTGTAACATCATGAATATTACCTTGTCTCAAATGGCTACTGGCAGATAAATCTTGAATTAGGGATTTCATAAGGTGCAATACAGTTTTCATTGAAGCTGTGGTGTTCTTTTGGCTGAAGGAAAGCAGAATGGGTACTCCCACATGTATTGGTTTTAATTGCAAGTCTGGTTCTTGAGCTGATTGTAATGTGGCCACTAGCTGATGATATTTAGTGAACAAAAAAACTTTACTAACACTTCAAGCTCAGAGACAAGTTTGATAATTTTAACAACATTTAAAATTTTCTGAGATGACATTACAAGTCCTCCATTAAACTGCCACGTAAAAACAAAATACTTGAGATCTAAGTAAAACAAATGAAGTTTCCAAGAAATACATGAAATTCAGAAATTATATTAACTTATTTATAAAGAAAAATGTTTTAACACAATTTTCAGTACATTTCAGAAGTTATAGAAAGTTTTGGTAACTCTACATCTTTAACCATTCTAGAATGATGGCAGAAAGAATGTGTGCTTTAAACCTTTTCAACAATCTTTCCATAATACTGTATGACGAGAAGAAAGTTATCATCACTTCAAGAAAAGGTGGCACTCTACACAAAAATGCTAAACCTATTTTTCCTCTTGTTGCTCTGTCTTTATACAGTAGCATTTTCTCAAAAGGGTATAAGGAACAAAAAATAGCTTTCCCACAGTTTTGTAGCTATGTGGCATTCTGTGTAATTTATGTTAGAGATATATTATTTTCACATACATAATACATGCAAATTGAAATGTTCCTAAATTGTATCTGAAGATAATGACAATTATGCTAGTGTTTAACAATTAATTCATTAAAATTCTAACACTACTGACTCTACAAACATTAAATGCATTTATATAACCAAAATTATTTTCTATGATAGCCTTTAAAATTTAAGGAATAAAAACCTCTTTCGACAGTTATGCTGTCCAAGTTGTTTAAAAAACCATCTCCAAATAAGAACACTTACTTGAAGATGGAGCTTCTTAAGTTAAGTATTTTGAACAAAGTATTATCCACCACCTTAGTTTTCTTTTAAGGAAAAAAATACTTCAAAAAAATTAAAATTATTTTGAATTTCAAGTTATCTATAAAGATGTAAATAAATAAATAAAATGCTCAAATTAGTGTTAAATAACAATTTACTGTCAAATGATATTTGAAACCAGATAACAGTTACTTCATCATGTTTTGATATATTTATGCAATTCACGCTCATAGAGAGTATAGCTAAAAAAAAAAAACTTTTATTTGTGTCGCATCTCATATACTAACTATACTACTAAAATAATCATTACAGTTCAGGTCTCAGAAAATATCTTGTTAAACTATCATTTTGATCATATAATTTCTTGTATTCATGCCTGTTACTAACCTGCTGTCTGAGAGCCAAGGTTGATGCAAACACAGCTATTTGTCTTTGAATTTTGTGTGTATTACCGTCAATGTGAATGGTCATAATCACTATACCATTGTAACTGTTTCGTGTGCAGAACTCTTCCAATACAGTGGTCATCTTCAACTCTTCTTGTAGATTCTTTAAAACAAAAAAACTTTAGTACCCATAGAAGAACACACTTCTTACAACATCCATTTATCTATTTTTCTTTCATCTTCAATTAAAATATATCATGCCAATAAAATACTCAAATATAATGTCAAAGAACCTTTTATGAATGCAAATTGTCAGTATTACATATTTAAATTGATTCATTTTCAAGCCCCCCCAGTGGCATAGCAGTATGTCTGCAAACTTACAATGCTACAAACCAGGTTTCAATACCCGTGGTGGGCAGCATAGCCCATTACGTAGCTTTCTGTTTAACAACAAACAAACAATTTTCGCGAAATAACTTTTTTTTTGTTTCAATTTCCGTTAAGTTAAATGGTAGCAACCAATGATATACTGCGGTGTTAAATTGATACGTTAGTATTTCAAAATCTAGTGAGCCTGCTACATGATGCTTATGGGTATAATAAAACATTATAACTTTCTCAATTTTGCATACAACTTGTGAGCCTGCTACATGATGCTTATGGGTGTAATAAAACATTATAACTTTCTCAATTTTGCATACAACTTGTTCATGGTAAATGAATCAGACTCACTTCTTAATTAATTTCCATGACGCAAGTTCAATGTTAGGACTGTTGTAGGGTATGTTGGCCAAGTTGTATCTTCTAACAATATTATGAAGAATTCGAAATGGTGTATTTAAGTGTTTCTTTTTTTTGTGAGTGTAGAGCACTTAAATACAGTATTTCGATTTTTGTATACCTCACTACCATAAAGTCTTGGTTTGGTCTGAAGTTTCATTGGTGGTAGTGTCTAGGGTCACTGATAAGGAGTGGAATTCCCCAAAACTAGTCTGGCTCACAGACACCCCCAATGAAAGAATAGACCATTTAAAGCTTTCACTTGTTGTTAAACAAATGTTTAAACAATTCTATTCAATTATGAAGAATTGATTATTTCATCAGAAAAAAAAAACATAAAACGTAAAATATTGTCCAAATTTTCAAAACCAGAGAATTTAAAAAACATTTATTTATAAGTCTATATATATTAACAAAAAAATTGTATTTATTACTGAAAGAATTGCTGTTAAGATCCAGTAAAGTGACTGGGAGATAATTTCAATCACATGTTGAATCAGAGAAATGTAAGAGACTGGGGAATAACAGACTCCACTTGTTCCTTACGTGCATAATACTAATTGACATCTAAATGTTAGGGCTTATCATAAAGATCTCTTATTTTATGAGATCAGTTTTGGTGGTATGGTTGTTGGTCTTTGAAAAGAGGAATTTACGTTTAATAGTTGATTTGTGACCTTGTTCAAAATACATAGATGGAAAAGCAAGTTTTTAACAGAATCGATATTATTCTATTTAGAAATCATGATCACTCATATATACAATTAAATTAACAGAATCAAACATAAACATCTGATACAGATTAAACAAACTTAATATATATTTGAAAGAGTTGGATGAAGTAAAATAATGTCAGTACAACTGTCAGGGCAGATCCAGGAAGAGGGGTATAATTATATGCGAGAGAAAAAACTATAGCAACACAAATGGTAGGTGTAAAATTACCTCTAAAAGGCCAGGAACAGATACAACTGCAATTCTACAGTTGTCTCCTTCAACTACCTCCAGATCTATTCTAAATATCTCTTCTACTGATAAGCCTGGATCAGAAGGAAAACATTTTTATACAAAACAAAAATATTTTTCTCTTTAAATCTGATTCAATTGTAACATGAGAAAAGTTTTATTTTAGAAAGCTCTCTAAATTACTCATAAAATTTTATTAGTAATACAACAGTAGAAAAACAAGTGAAAAGAACACACAGCATCAATTAGAAACTTCCAGTGATTTCATAATGTCCATTTTAGCAACATAAGAGGCATCAACACCAGTTTTTATCCTGCAGGTTCTAGAGGATGTGAAAAATCAGCAGTATATATCAAACTTCTATTGAATATCGCATGATATACTCGTATAAAAAAAACCCGTGACCATCTAATATATATCACTAATTATCTAAAATAGTTGAATGATGTTTTAACCATGCACTGATAAATGTTTCATTTTATTTATTTATATCATTTTATATTTTACACAAGTGCTGGTCATTCATGCTTCTTTATAATGTGTTTGACATGTCAATGTGTTGCTGAAACATGGAAGGCTTGCACCTTAATAACAGGAAGTTACAGAAGCTGATCTAAAAACATCCAAAGTATGCACTTGATGTAATCCAGTTCAGTGTGAATCTTTGGCATTTGAATTGTTATGAGACATTTTTATGAATAATTCAGGCATTGCTGCCTAAGCTCCATGTAGAAAAAAATACTCAGGAGTAACTTGCAAGCACAAGTATAATATTTACAGATTTATAACAATTCACGTGACACTACACTTGCCACTATTTACGTAACTTGTTGAATGACCTTTCACAGAGGATCACACAAAACACTAACACAATGACTAACTGGATCTTCATCTCCATTTAATATTACATAATCTTTATAAATTTGATTATTTTTAAAGATTCACAGATGTTTTTAGCAATCAAACTGTTAGGTTGAGCTAAAATTATGGTTTTATCCCCTAATATAATGTGTTACTTGTACACGTTCTTCAATAGCTAAAATTCAAATTTTATTATTTCTTTCTTAACCTTCACGTTTTTGCAATATTTATTTTAAGTTCCTTTTAGTTTGTTCAATAGAAATACTATCATACTCACATTATATTTTGTAAATCCCATTTCCATCAATTAAATCTATTTTATCTTTGGTATTACCTGAAGTTTGAATCATCCTATTGATAGGTTTGAAGATAAGATAAATTGTTGTTGTTTCATATAAACATTAAATAACTGACTAGTTAATAGGGCCTTCACGATTAAACGATTAACCATTAACAGTTAGATTTTTTGTGTTATCCACAAATAACCAGTTACAAAATTGCTAACCAATTAATTGTTAATTAATTAGATCTGTAGAGTAAAGGCATATTCAAAACATATTTGAATTTCATATTTTTGGACAATATTTTACCGTAACTTGTTTCCTTCCCTGCTACTATATCTGTCTGTAGCCACTTTCATTTCCGGTGCCACCGTACTATACACAGTACGTAGCATGATTTAATTTTGAATTTCATATTT